TGACGCGAGCTTCGGATGCTTGCCTCGACATAACTGCTTCCAGGCCTGCGCTGCTCCGTCGCTCGGGAGGGCGCCGAGGCCCGCCGGGCACTCAGAGCTGCTGGTGCGAACATAGCAGCAACGAGTGTCACGGGCGAGCAACTTCAAAGCGCGGGCACACCGGAGGACCGAGGACCAAGGGACCACGAGGGAGATCAGGGGAACGACCAATGACAGAAGCATAAAAACTCTGAGCTTCGCGCGGATTTCTCAGATCGGCGCTGGACCCCCCTGCCTGGCGCGCGGAGCGCGCCAGGGGCGGCGTCGGAGGCGCCGCTGGGGGACCCCAGCGCCGATCCGAGAAATCCGCGCGGACCTCCGAATTTGCATGTTTGTGTCATTGGTCGTTCCCCTAGAGACGGGGCGGGGCTCGCGAAGGCGGGGCCAGGGCCCCCGCAGTGGGGGCCTCGCTGTGACAAGCCGTGAATTTTCTGGCGCACGCAAGAGGCGTCTGCGGCCGTGGGCCGGCACAACAGTCCCCACTTCTCCCGCTCGGACGCTCCAAGAGAGTCCTGGCCAGCGATGCCCCGGTTCGGGATGGGCCGACGGCCCACCACCACTACCAGAAGTAGGGGATGGGGGAGGAGGAGGAGGAGGAGGAGGAGGAGGAGGAGGAGGAGGAGGAGGAGGAGGAGGAGGAGGAGGAGGAGGAGGAGGAGGGGGAGGAGGAGGAGGAGGAGCAGGAGGAGGAGGAGGAGGGAGAAGAGGGCCTCCTCCTCCTCCCTTCTCCCCCGTCCTACCCATGGTGGTGGCTGCGGGGAACCGACCCAGCAGTTCCGGGGGGCCCCGGGGGGCGCGGCTGGGCCGCGGCCGGCTGCAAGGCAGCCCAGGGCACCCTGATCGTTGGATACTGCACTTTTCGCTACCGATCTGCTTCAAAATCTGTCGCGACCGAGCGCTCGCGACCGATCGGTCGCGATCGGTGGCGACCCGTCGCGACCGACTAAGGGATCGGTCGCGATGGGTCGCGACCGATCTGGAGTGCCGGTCGGTCGCTACCGATCGCGACCGACAGAAATCGGGTATCCAATGATCTGGGCAGAAGGGGACCGGCGCACCGCTCATGCAGCCTCGTCCCTAGCAGGGGGAGGGAGCGGCCGAAGCTCTGCCTGAACATCCGCCTCTGAGTGTGGCCGAACGTCGTGCTTCGAAGCCACAGATACTCACATGGTCCGTGACAGGAACGGTCACGGCTCGTGTTTGTCGCGACGTCGGGCACGCTCTTCGGGGAGGCACTGGCCCGGGGCTCGGTCGGGCTGCTGCAGGATCCTGCAGGATCCTGACGGACTTGGCGGATCCTGCAGGATGCTGCAAGGTCCTGCAGGATCCCCGAGTTTTCGTCACGGGTCCATTGCCCACAACCGCTACCATGTGTAGCAGAGGGAGGAGGAGGCGGAGGAGGAGGAGGAGGAGGAGGAGGAGGAGGAGGAAGAGGAGGAGGGAGAAGAGGACCTCCTCATCCTCCCTCCTCCTCCGTCCTTACTATGGTGGTGGCGGTGGACAGACTGCCCGTCATTTCGGCCACCGCTTCTCCTGGTCACGCACGTCTTCGGCGGCTCGGGGAGGGGCGCCCCGACACCGCCCACGAGACCGCCCCTCGCCGCCTCCGCACAGCCGCGCCGCGACCGCGCCGAGGTCGAGCGAGCCGACGGCCAGCCGTGGGATCGAGCCGGCCAGTGGGCGCGAGGCAGCATTGGAGCACACTGGAGGCCAGTCTGAAAGAAACCTGTCACAAGAAGCCCGACCCTGAGACCCCAGGACGTCCATGGATCTTTGGTGTGGGAACGCCACGCTCTCAACAGCAGCACCACCGAAGGCACCCTGGAGGCAAGCAGGGTGATTCTTGGCATGGGTCTCCACTCTACCGTACAGGGCAGTTTTTAATACATCGGATTTGTTTAAACATATATGGTTTTTAATACATGATGAATTTATGACTGAATTTATGCATGAACTCGTCGTTGTTGTTAGTACTGAATCCCTGCATGTTTAATACATGATCCGCACGCGGAGCATGTATTCAAAACGGCACTGGAATGAGCGACGGAAGAGGTCCGCAGCCAGCGAGGTCAACGCCATCGAACACACTCCTGGCGCAATGGTGGGCGCGGGGCGCCCCCGCACAAAGGAGGTGGACCCGAGATGTGAGCCTGCCGGAGTCGCGGCCGCCAATCCAAAGGGACTGGTGGCGAGCGAACGCGCAGGGGGATACAGGGCAATTTTCAATACATCGGATTTTTAAACATATCGGATTTTAACACATGATGATTGCATGAAGAAATTTATGCATGAACTCATCGTTGTTTTGAATCATAAACCCCTGCATGTTCAATACATGATCCGCACGCGGAGCATGTATTGAAAACGGCACTGTAGGCAAAAGCCTCGTCGCCCAGTGACTCGCCGCCCAGAAGAGATTACATGGTTCGTGTGGTGGACGGTCGGTTCACCCCATCACCACGGAGGCAGCTACACGTCGTTCATGTCTAATCGCGCTCAGTTTAAATTGCGTTCGTTCCTAATGGTTCCTGGCCACCTAGTGGCCAGGAAGAGGCCCAGGATAGAACGATTAGAAATGAAAAGATCTTGGCCCAGAAAACGATCAAAGAACTTTCGAACTGACCAACGTCTACTTCCCAACCCTCACCGCAGCCAAAGCGACTGGCGTGTGCACAAGGCCGCATGGGACTCACGGAGCACATGGCCCCGCCCATCAACCGAATGCGCAGCCCCCGTGCCTGATACAGAAGGGGGGGGGGGGAGGGGGGGGGGGGGGGGAGTGGAGGAGGGCAGGGGGGGGGGGAGGGGGAGTGGAGGGGAGGGGGGAAGGGGGGAGGGGGGGAGTGGAGGAGTGGAGGAGGGGGGTGGGGGGGGGGGGAGTGGAGGAGGGGGGGGGTGGAGGAGTGGAGGAGAGGGGGGGGGGAGGGGAGGGGAGGGGGGGGGGGAGGTGAGGGGGGAGTGGAGGAGGGGAGAGGGGGGGGGAGGCGGGCCCTCGGTGAGACTACCATCCTCCACCGAGGGTGCTGGGGCCCAGGGAGGCCCCAAGACAGGCCAGGAGGCCCCCAAGGCGGCCCAGGAGGGCCCCGAATCGCCGAACGATCGGTCCCAGGACGCCAGAGATGGCCTCCTCACAGCCCAAGCGGCTTCCTCGACGCTTGAAAAGGCATCCAAGAGCACGCCAAGAGGGCCCCAACAGCAAAATTCAAACTGGCGTTCCCCAAGACGGCCCAAGATAGCACATAGATCGGCACAACAGGCCCCAAAGATGTTTCCAAGACGGCCCCAGAACGACCCGAGAGGGCTTCTAGACGGCCCTGCAGGTCTCCCAGACGACCCCAGAGGCCCCCAAAACGGCTTCACGCAGGAGCCCAAACGAAGATTTCGAGCCCTCGGCCCAAGAAGCTCCCAGGAGGCCCCAAAAGGCCCCCACGAAGCCCCGAGAGACCCCCAAGAGGCCTCCAGAAGCCCGAAGAGACCCCGAAGCGGCCGCCAACAGGCCCCAAAGATACTCCCCACACCCCCGAGACTGCCCCCCAGAGGCCTACGAGCGCACTCCGACGAGGCTTCACGAAGCATCCCTGATGGCTCTTCCCCAGGTCAGCGTCGTCATGGCCGCCGCCGCCGCCGCCGCCGCCGCCGTCGTCGTCGTCGTCGTCGTCGTCGTCGTCGTCGTCGTCGTCGTCGTCGTCGTCAACGTCGTCCTCGTCGTCGACGACGTCGTCATCGTCGTCGTCTTCGTCGTCATCGTCGTCGTCCCCCTTCAGGGTCGGCAGCACCGGCCGCAGGCCTTCCCAATACAAGGCTGCAGGGGCGTTTCGCGCCACGCAGCTTGGTCTTTGAATGTTTGCATGCGGTCGGAAGAAACAAATCAAAAACACATAACATTCAGCGGAAAATCCTTGATGCCTCATGTTTCCTCTTCATCCGTCTCATCCTCGCCATAGCCTGCGAATTCTTTCCCATCCTCCTCTGCTCTTTTTGCGGAGGCTCCTCCTTGGAGACCTCCTGGGCACATTCTGGCGCATTCTGGGGGTCTCTGAGGGCTTCCACGGGCAACCATGCTTCCAATCGCGGTCTCCCTGAACGACCGGGTCACGATTTGGAATGCTTCGGGGGGCGTCTTGGGGCCATCTTGGGCCGTCATGGGGCTCTCTTCGGGCAATGTGTTTTTAGCCGGCACTCGACCAGGAAAATAATGAAGTCGTTTGGCAATCGCCGTGGCTCTTATGGCGATCTCGCAATTGCTCCCGAATGCAAGCACTAGAAACTTGACAATACCTCACATCAGTATGATGCGAGGGAGGGTACTTAACCAGATCACGCACGGCAGTGCCAGAAAAGCTGTGCTCCTCACCGAGCACCCTTGCAGCCCAGGAGCAGTCTGTAAATCCCGGCCAGCCCGACATGTGCAGGCCTCATCTTTGGCTCATCGCACTGCAAGCGCCAGACGTTCCGGCTTCTGTAAAAACTCGGTGCGAAAAGATTCCTATTGAGAGCCTCCACAAAAGGATTCCTTCTGACAGCCTCTACGCAATGATTCCTATTGAGAGCCTCCACACAAGGATTCCGATTGAGAGTCTCTACAAAAGGATTCCTATTGGGAGCCTCTACAACAGGATTCCGATTGAGAGCCTCAAACCCCCTCGAAAAATGAAAAAACAAAAGAACAAAAAACAAACAAAAAAATGGCGGGAGGCTTTTCGCCAATTTCGGCCTCGGGTGGCCCATCCCGGGCCTCGGGACTGTCAAAAAACGGCCCGGGATGAAGAACCGGTCCCGGGGAATGGGTCGAGACCTCGAGGGTCGACGTTACGAAAAAATCATGACGTCGGGGGTCTGGGAACTCGGACCTGACTCTCGAAGCCGATCGGAGCGCGGCAACCTAGATGGCTAATTAAGGGGTCACAGGCTCACCCTGGTCGAATGGCGCCGTCGCCGAAGGCGAGCGTGATGGCAGCACCTCAGGAGCGCCACAGGGACGACACTGCGTTTGGAACTCTGCCCGTGACTGGGCGGTCATGGTGAGATTCGAGAGCACTCCTGCGGCGAGGTGCTCCTCCCAGGCGGGAGCCGCCAGGAGCTTCGCGGGAGCCGACGAGAGCGGCGGCGGCGTGCGTGTCTGGCGGAGCCTTGAGGCGCCGGCTGGCAGGCAGGGCCTCCGGCTTGGACATTCGTGCCCTGAGGAGATTGGGGAGCTCGTCGAGTGTCAGGGCTTCGCCCAAGCTGGGCACCCTCGGCCCAAAACGCGGAGAGCGCCTCTTCCCACGGAGATTGGGGAGCTCGTCGAATGTCAGGGCTTCGCCCAAGCTGGGCACCCTCGGCCCAAAACGCGAGGAGCGCCTCCTCCCACGGAGATTGGGGAGCTCGTCGAGGGTCAGGGCTTCACCCGAGCTGGGCATCCTCGGCCCAAAACGCAAAAAGCGCCTCTTCCCACCTTCGCGGCGATCTCCCAGAACAGCGCGCTGCTCCTCGGGTTGCTCCTGGCACGGCACGGGGCGGGTCACGCCGTTGGCCTCTGCTAGCCCGCTGCCCTCAGCCATCACAAACCACCTCTGAGGGGCAACGATAAGGGGGGACTGGCATAGGGGAGGGATGCATCGACCTGGAGTCGGCGATACATCGCCGATAGATCGGCGATAGGCCCCCGATAGTGAATCCGCACCTTCTTGTGCAGGTTGGGGCTATCGGGCCCTTTATCGGCGATCAATGGGCGTTTGGGGGCCGATGCATCCCCCATATGCCTATCCCCCCCTGTCGCTGCCCCCGAACCTCACAGACTGGCACCTCCGGTGCGTGAACGCCCTGGCCGCCATGGCCGGTGCGACGACAGCCTCTCGGGCGAGATATGGCGACAGCGGCGCACCTCTGCGCGCCGTTGGATACGGCGGCGCGGCCGCGGGAAGGTCGGACCTGATCCGGATATTGCTTGAGCCAAAATGGCTAGGGGGGGTCTCTGCGGGCATCATTGGGTCCCTGTTGGGCCGTCTTGAGACTCTCTTGGACTGCCCTAGCACTTTTTGGGGTAGTTTGGGGGCGAAGTTCTAGCCTCCTGGGCGGTCTCGGACGCCTGGAAGACCGAAACACAAAGCATTCGCAAAATCACAGAGACAAGGCTTTAATGCTTCCAGTTTCAAAAGCCTCTTGGGGATATTCGTTGGGTCGTCTTCGGGCGATCTGGTGGGTCTGGAGCCTCTCAAGGCCCTTGCGGGGCTGTTCGGCCGCCCTCCTTACCGACTTGGGCCTGTTTCCTAAGCCCAGCTGGGGCTTCCAAGAGCTCCAGGCAAGCCCGGAGGACCCTCTGCAAGGGCGTCCAGGGAGCCCTGGGGGCGATGCATCCCAGGGGCCCGGCTTGGGAACGGGGGGCAGGTCCCGCCCCCCCGGCTCATAAAAATATAGACAGGCACTTCCCTTCCTGCAATCCCACCCAGCCCCCCTTGAGAAGATAGGCGGGCACTTTTTCTTGCACATCAGTGCGCCAAGTCCTGCGTGCTCGGCAGGTCCGTTGTGACTGAATGAAACGACTGCGCTGCGCAGGACGATGCGGGCCCGCGGGGCCCGACCGTCGTCCTCGTGGAGGCGAAAGGGGGAGAAAGCAAAGAGTATCGATGCTCGATCCGCGTGGCTGCCTCGAACAAAGAGCTGGCATAGGAATGGGGAGAGCAGAATGAAGGAGAAATGATGGGGCAAGATGGATACACAATGGGATCAAGCCACCCGCCACCATGCATATGGAGCGCCATTGTTCTCAATTGACCTGTCAATAACGGACAAGCACTTCCCTTCCTGCAATCCCACCCAGCCACCCTTGAGAAGATAGGCGGGCACTTTTTCTTGCATATCAGTGCTCCAAGTCCTGCGTGCTCGGCAGGTCCGTTGTGACTGAGTGAAACGACTGCGCTGCGCAGGACGATGCGGGCCCGCGGGGCCCGACCGCCGGCCTCGTGGAGGCGAAAGGGGAAGCCCCGCAGATGAGTCCGGCCCGTGGGGCGTGACCATCAGCCTCGAGGAGGCGCGAAGGGGCAGCCCGGGAGGCGGCCCCGGCCCGGGGGGCGTGGACCGCCAGCCTCGTGGAGGCGAAAGCGCAACCCGGGAGGCGGCCCCGGCCCGTGGGGCGTGAGCCGCCAGCCTCGTGGAGGCGAAGGGAAGACCCGAAAATGATCCCGGCCCGTGGGGCGTGAACCACCAGCCTCGTGGAGGCGAAAGTGCAATCTCGGAGGCGGCCCCGGCCCGTGGGGCGTGGGCCGCCAGCCTCGTGGAGGCGAAGGAACGACCCGAAGATGGTCCCGGCCCGTGGGGCGTGAACCACCAGCCTCGTGGAGGTGAAAGTAGCGGGCGCGTGCCAGCGGCGGCGGCCCTCAGCCTTCAGGCGACGCCCTCTCCACCACCTGGCGAAGCCGCGGCGACTGAGAGAGCGAATTGGTGGGGCGACGGGCACTTTCGACAGAGGTTGGCTCCGTCGGCAGCCGGCGCTTCGCTGAGGAAGGTCGAGAGGCTCGCGGATGAGCCGAATCGCCAGCCGCAGCGTGTGCGCCACGACGGCAACGGCGTGTCCGGCGGGCTCGCGACGGCGTGGATGGTGCCAGAGGATTCTGACCGGACCCACCGGGACCAACCTGCTGGAGGCGCGGAGATCTTGACCTCCGGTAGCCGCGAGGTTGGTAGCCCCCGTGCCTCTGCCAGCGACTGCATCGACGCTTCCAGGTTGGCGACGCGTCGCGCAAGTGGCTCGAGCTGGGCCTCTGGTGGCGGCTCTGCAGAAGAGCTCGCGGCGCGCCCCTGGCCGTCGAGTGGCCGCTCGGTGAACGCCTCTTCAACATATTCCAACACCGTGCAGGAAACCCACCGCCCGACCGTTTGGATGCTTGAGAGCGGCCATCAAGATCGCGCGTATCGTTTTGCACCAGACCGTCTCGCAGAGTGGCCTCCTAGCACAGGGTGCCCGTCGACCGCGAGGCGCTGCCAGCCCTGGGTGACTGCGGCCTTGGACACCGTGCCGCCGGCAGCGTCTTGGAAAAGCGGCTCTTCAAGCTCGCGCGCGTCCTGGGCGCGAGTGCCAGTAGCGCGACGTCGCGCCTCAACGTGCGCCATCAATGTGTGCACGGGGCACGAAGCCTTGTCGAAGGGGCCCAGCAGACATGTGCAGTTCAGCGTGACGGCCGCGCCAGCACCCCAGGCGTCGGTCTTCGACACGGGGAGGCGCATTCGCACGCTCCCGGCCGAGGGAAAATCTACGTGCGCAAGCCTCGCTGCCGCCAGCTCGATCTCCCTGAGCAGGAAGCGCGTGGCTACCACCCAGGCGCGCCATGGCGAGGCCAAGTCATGACCAGCAACGCCTTGCAGGGACTCCAAAACATCAGTCGGCCGAAGCCCGTCTTCCCGCAACTCAGCGGCCTTGGATTTCGGGCCAACACCTCGTCGGGCAGACCGCTTGCACTGGTCGAATGCCCGGGCGAGCTGCTGCGAAACAGGTGCGCCGCGCTCGATGTGCTCAAGCCGCAACTCATTGAGGTATTGCTCTGCAGATTTGAACCGAGCCCCTTTGAGAGCCGCAGCCACCGCGTGCACGACGGCGACCTCTAGAGGGAAGGGTGCAGATACATCCAAAATGGACGATGCCGCCTGCTCTGCCAATCTGCACACGTCAGCCCACTTGCGAGAGACTGCCTCGCGGGAGGAATTCGCATAGAAGTCCTGTCTGAGAGCGCCCAAAGCACTCGCGAGGCGCACGGGGTCGCCACCTATGGACAAAGCTGCCTTAATGGAGCCCCTGATCTGGCCATCATCTGGAAATGGAGGCCTAGGGAAGTCACGTCATTGAAGATCGACGCTGGGAACTCCAATGCCAAAGCTGCCATGCTGGCTGGGTAAGTGCACCAACTGACCGGCGCCTGGAGAGAGAATGCAGCCTGGTGATCTCCCGCGCGGCTGCGCCAGCGGCACGAACCTCGGTAGTGAACCGCTCGCGGACGCGCCTGGAGCCAGGCATGGGATCACCGGAGCGTGGGTGACCACACTCGTGGCTGGCACGCCCGCTCGCCCATTGCTCCACCGTGCCGGAATCGGCGCGGGCGGCGTGCCAGAGCGTGAGGCGTAGCGAGGCCGTTTGGAGGGCGGACCTCTGGACGGCGCGTCCCCAGCACTGCGAGGAGTGCTCATGACGATCTGAGCCAAAACTGCAACGGCGGACAAATCAGAAGAAAACTGTCTTGATCACGTGCCGTTCTGGCTTCGACGGCAACCAGGCTCAACGCAGCGTGCGCCTCACCGAAAGCTGAAACAGTGACGCAAGGCACTCGTAGGCGTGCCGTTCGGCCGGCAACTTTGCTCAAGGCAAACGTGCGCCTCGCCGAGAGCACAAACAGTGATGTGTGGCACTCGTAGGCGTGCCATTCGGCTCCGACGCAGAACCCGAGCCTGAACCCCAAGCGCCTCGCCGAAAGCTTACAGACACGGCCACCAGGTCCAAGGTAAGCGTGGGCCTCGCCGAGAGCTCAAACATGGACAAATGGCACCCGTGGCGTGTCATTCGGCTCCGACGCAGAGCCCGAGCCTGGAGCCCCATGCGCCTCGCCGAGAGCTTACAAAACGCATGGCACGGACGGCAGAGGGGGCACAACCGCACCGCACGTCTCAAGAAAGCCTGAAAGCATGCCTTACGCTCGAGCACGCGGCCGTCCGCTGCGCCTCGCCGAAGATACGGTCCAGGGCCGAGCGACGAAGACGATTACCTTCGCACACAAGCCTGATCTTCGCGACGCGGGTCCCGGCGCCGAGACGCTACTCGGAACGGCCGGCCGAAAGCGATTCCCACATGGGGGAGACGAGGATGCGGAAGGAGGGAAGGGAGGAAAGGGAGGAGAGGGAAGGAAAGAGATGATGGTGGCCTGCCCTGGAAAGCCGAAGCGCCGGGCCAGGGGCGCAGCGTGCGGTCGAACAGCGGTTGGCCGAGGGCCAGCGCTGGTTAGGGCAGAGGGCCAGGGGGGATCCTGGGCGACAGCACCACGACCATCGCGCGCGAAAATCTTCGCGCTCTACCAGCAGAGGGGGGGGGAAGAGAACAGGGGGATGGACGAGAAAAGGGGGAGGGACGAGAAAAGGGGGAGGGACGAGGGACGAGGACACGGCGGGGGAGGAAGGGTATCTTCGCGCCTCTGCCGTGGGCGCCGGCTCGTTCTGTGAGGCGGCTGGTCGGGGACCAGGCTGTGGAGCGGCGATGCAGACGAGGAGAAAAGCGAAAGACATACATTTTTCCTCTATCGCGCTGGCCCGAGGGGCTGGGTGCGTCGCCTCGGGGAGGCGTGTTCGTATGCAAAACTTTGATAACTCACCCCTGCGTTGGAAAGAAAAAGAAAAAATCACCCCTCGGTCGGGGCAGGCGACGAGACGTTCAGACGCTCGTGGCTACTGTTGCCCACGCGCTGGCGCTGGACGTCGGTGCCCAAAGCTCTGGCTTGGCCCCGGGGGAGGCAGCCGGTAGTATGCGCGGGATCGGGCGGGCACTGGCCGGGCCTTCGCGCCGACCAGCTCCGCGGGCTCTGCTGTGGCGCTCCCTACCGGCTCGAACAAAGAGCTGGCATAGGAATGGGGAGAGCAGAATGATGCGCGGAGGTCGCCCAACAAACTGCCTTGAAAAATCATGCACGTGCTGTCACGCCGGGTGGCGGAGCACTTGCAAGAATATCGTAGAAAGACGGACGAAGGAGGGAACACAGCCGTGAAATTAAATGCACGCGCTGACACGCCAGCTGGCGGAGCACGTGCAGGACGAAGGCTGCGCACGCACACTACTTCGCACGGAGATGGTGCGTCGCGGTCGCGCAACGCTCATGCAGCAAGATCGAATGATTGAACAGTGCTGCAACTGAAGTTGGCAAAAATGTATTGGACGAAGGCTGCGATCGCATAACAGCCGTGTTGGGGCATCTTGGGGCCTGGGTCTCTTTAGAAGTCTCTCGGAACCCGGTTGGGGGCCTCTTTGGGGTCTCCTGGAGGCGTCGGAGTTTCAATCTCAATAGGGTGTTTACCGAGATAGCGAGGCGAACGGATAGGCGATCTTGTTCGCTCTCCTCGGTACGCTGATGGACCATTTTTCCACAGAGCGCACCAAACTTGAGCCAAAGAGTTCCGGGCGAAAACTTGCCTCGCAAGAGTGGCGTTGTCACCACCCGCGCGAGGCTTCGCAGAAGTGGCGTTGCCACCACCCCCGCGACACAAGACGGCGCACTGTGGCAATCTAAACTGTCGCCGCTCTGGCGTATTCAGGAGTCGACGCAACACAGTGGCAGCAAATGTATCACATACCTGTCCTGGTAACAGAAAGCTGGCGGCACGCGGGGAAGGAACAACTGGTAACAGAAAGCTGGCGGCACGCGGAAAGGGGGACAAATGGTAACAGAAAGCTGGCGGGATCATGCCGATGCTATGCCGATGCTCCCCTGTCCCACGATTTTTTGGCAGATATGCTGTATGCAACGCGTACATACATAGTTGCACATGTACAAAATGAGAAGATATGAGTCACGGCGCATGCGCACCCATTGGGGTCTGCCCGGCGTCGACGAGGCGGGCGGGTACTGTCGCGAACTGGTGGAGGTATGTCAGCGGCGGCACCTGGGTCTGCCACGGCTGGCATGGCCTCCTCGCGCACGCCGGCGGCGGAGCCGTCTGCGGGCGGCTCGAGAGCCTGCACGGCGGCCAAAGCGGCCGCCCGCTGGCCCAGGCGGAGAGGGGTCGGTATCCCCTGCAGGAGCGCGTCCAGGCGAGGCCCGCGCAGCTCGCCCGCCGGCGGCGCGCGCGCGGCCTCACGCTGCGCCAGCGCCGCGAGCCCAGGCGGCCGCCTGAACCGAACCTCACGCTGCGCCAGCTGCGCGAGCCCGGGCGGCCGCCTGATGCGGGGCGGCTGCGCCGCCGCCGCCGCCGCCGCCAACTGCGCGGCGTGCCTCCCGCGAGCGCCGGGGCCGCGCGGGCGAAGGGCGGCTGCGAAGGGCGGCCGCGCCCAGAGCCAGTCGCCCGCGGGCGGCTGCCGCCCCCTTGGCTCGAGGCCAAGCGCAAGGGGCGGCGAGGGGCTGCGGCGATGGCCCATTTTGGGCACAAGGACTTTGACCTGGACTCAACGCGTGTACAATGAAAACGTGCTGCTAGCACGGCCCCTTACGGGGCCTCTGAGGCTGAAAGCAAAGAGTATCGATGCTCGATCCGCGTGGCTGCCTCGAACAAAGAGCTGGCATAGGAATGGGGAGAGCAGAATGAAGGAGAAATGATGGGGCAAGATGGATACACAATGGGATCAAGCCACCCGCCACCATGCATATGGAGTGCCATTGTCCTCAATTGACCTGTCAATAACGGACAAGGGAATACACGCACACGCGCACACAAACAAACACACACACACACACAGACATACGAAGCCCTTCGAAGATGGTCGGAAGACACCTGGAAACCTCCAAAACCCGCCGTCCGTCCCAAAGATTTACGGTCAAGAGCTCTTACCTAGCGTGTCGTCACGGCGGCCCCGGCGACACGCCGCTCCGCGGGGCGGGAGGCTGAGAAAGGCTCGGGACGCTCCAGCCCGGGGACCGTGAAGCGGACAGACCGTCGCGCCGAAGCGCTGTGGGCCAGAACCAGCGAAGCGACACGCTATCCTTAGGTCGGGCATGCCCTCCTACAGGCGGATTTAAACACACAAGTACAGCGAGGCAAACAAGAATGACGAATAGACGACAAAAGCACGAAGAATCTTCAGCAGACTACATCGACCCAATGAAAGTTCCTGGAATTTTCATCACGACGCTGGCCGGCGGAAGTCGACAGAAGTAAAACGAGGCGGAAGACGGGGGAAGGCCGCCGGAAGGCTTGCCAATGTCAGCGGAAGTAAACGACGCCCCTTCCGAACCCCCTACCCCCGTAGAAGCCTAGCAATGTTGTCCTCCTCCGTGGGCCGGGCGGGATCCCGCCTGGCTTATTCCGCTTTAATATTATAAGGACGATCAAAATCCCACCCATTAAAAATGGGGTAGACCAAAATCCCGGGCCGTTCACGGATCCCACCATGCTGGGATCGGCTCGAAGTAAGATGGGGCTCATAAGAGGAAGTATTATTGCCGTGTTGGGGTCGTCTTGAGGTCATATTGAGATCATATCCCGGTCATGTTTGGAACACGCAACCATCGCGTGGTCATTATGAGGCCACCCTGGGTGCGCTTGGATCCATCTTGTTGCCATCGGGCCATCTCGGCGTCACGCGTCACGCGTTGCTCATGTGTTTCGTCATCTGCGAGTCGGCCTGAGACGGTCCAGAATCCATGGCGGGATCGCGTTGGGGTGGCATCATCCTGGGTCCTCTGGACGTTATCGTCCGTGGCCTGAGGCATTCCTGGAAGCATGTTGTGGCCATGGGACGTCTTGGGATCGCGTGCGTGCGAACGCTGAGCACGCGCGCGCGCGACTTTTCATCTTGCCGACGGGTTTACATACATATTATTCCACTTGCGAGTGTCCAAGGAAACTTTTGTTGGAGCCAAGTATGTTTCTGTATTCTTGAATCTTCCTCCTGTAAAAGGACCTGCCCGACTTAACTGACTACCTACCAGACCACCCCAACCCAACCCGAAGACACGAATTTCGGGTTTGAGGGGGTAAGGGTTCCACGCGCGACCCCCCCCCCAACTAGAAATCGAGACTAAATCTGAGCCTCCGGGTTGGGTTGGGGTGGTTTGGTGGGTGGTGATTAACGCTATCCAGAGATGCCCGGCCGCAAGCCCCAGGCTCGGTCCCCGCCGTTTCCCCAGGGCCAGCTTCTCCTCCCGAACCGTGCGTTGCTGACGGATCCAAGGCACGGCAAGTAGGGAGCAAACAAACCTACCTCGCTTTTGACCACCCTCGCTTCCAAGAGATACCAAGCGGCCCTCTGAGCAGTGGCCCCCCTGAGGCCGAGAACGGCGACAAAAAAAACTGTCTTTGCTGCCAGCGCGTTTGGGTCCCGTCACGATGACATGGGAGATCGCGAAGAATCACGGCCAGAGCCCTACAGACTGGCAGTCCTTGATGCCGGGCTGATCCGTGCGGACCCCAGGGCCCCGAGAGTGGGTAAGCCACCCTGCGAATGAAACGACGCCAGAACCTCAAGGCGGTCGAAGCATGTGAATACCCCAGCGTTTTGCAGTCCTGGCCTTTTTCATCGACTTCGGCATCTTCTGGGCCCCATTCTTGGACCCTGGGGCCACCAGAAAAGTACGACGGTCTAGCAAAGATTCGGGACCTCCCTGGGGCCGCGGATAGGGGAAAACGCGTTGCCGGATACCTGGGGCATACGGTCAAGAACTGTTGCGTATAGGCGATCGACGTTTGTGTTGCCATGTCCCCTCTTTGCCACCCACACCAGGATTGTACGTGATCGTTTCCTCATTCGGCATTTCGACATTGGGCGGAAGGGGCTGGCTCCAGGCCTCTGGTTACTAGGACTGCTTGCGGCAGTGCGTCCTATGGAGGAGGCTACACCTGCCTGAAACAGGCGCCAAAAACAGCCAAGATCTACTCCATGAGGGGGGGGAGGGGGGGGGCGAGGGCCTGCGCTGATCGGCAAAGCAAGGAGTACGAAAACTAGCACGACGAGGAGGCGAACCCAAGAAACCCTGAGCCTTTACCAGAAGAAGAAAAACGGCATAAGCACTAACGTTTGGCGCTCCTCGCGGATTTCTTGGATCTGCGCTGGACTCCCCTTCCTGGCGCGCGGAGCGCGCCAGGGGCGGCGCCGGTGACGCCGCCAAAGGGGCCCAGCGTGGATCCCCCAAAAAACCGCTCGGAGCGCGAAACGTTAAAGCTTATGCTGTGCATTCTTCCTCTAGAAAGGCTTAGGGCTTCCTGGGGTCAGCTCTTTGGGGCCTCCTGGGGACCTCCTGGGCTTCGGGCTCTGTGGGGAGGGCTCTTTGGGGCCCCTGGGGGCCTCTCAGGGGGCCCTTTTTGCCCAATCAGTGCTTGCACTGAAGGGTCCCTTACGGAAATTAAAAGATTTGGCGAAATTTCCTCGCCGACTTTGGTAGCCGGCTGGGTTCCCAGGTTCCCGGTTCCGGGTTCCCAGGTTCCTGGTTATTGGTTCTGGCCCGATTTCGGTGGGTTCCGGGTTCCAGGGTTCCCGGTCGATCTCCTTGATCGAGAACTTCCACTGATTGGGGGTTTTCTCTGGTGGAATTACCTTCTTCGATCCTCGGCTGATAGGGGCGGGGTGCCATGACAACCTCCTCGCGCCGTCGGATCTCTGGGGAGGGCCGCGCACCGCGGGGGCTCGAGGGGACTCGAGGGGCTTCGAGGGTCGGGGCTCGGGGATCGAGGCTCGAGGGCGAATGCGCTGCATGCGATGCAGGTCAGGGGTTAGGAGAGCTACATGCGGCCATGATGGGCGTGTTTTCCACCACCACCACCATGAGTTGAAGGGGGGAGGAAGGGAGGAGGAGGAGAGGAGGAGGAGTAGGAGGGAGGAGGAGGAGGAGGCACACAAGGAGGAGGAGGAGGAGGAGCAGCAGCGGAGGAAGGAGGAGCAGGAGGAGGAGGAGGACAACGAAGAGGAGGGGAGGAGGGGAGGAGGACGAAGAGGAGGAAGGGGAGGAGGGAGGAGAGGAGGACGAGAGGAGTGGGGGGGAGGGAAGGAGGAGCAGGAGGGGAGGAGGGGAGGAGGAGGAGGAGGAGGAGGAGGAGGAGGAGGACCCCCTCCCCCTCCAACTTATTGTGGTGGTGGTGGTGGCAAACAGGCAAATCAGGCCAGGTTCGACGGCAGCGATCCAGGTTCGGGAGCGAGGTGCGCGGAGCCGCGTCCTCGCCGCGGCCACCCAGGGGTCCCCCAGCCAGTCGGCGAGCGGCGCCTCTCGCCCGGCCCCCCAGGGGTCCCCCAGCCAGTCGGCGAGCGGCGCCTCTCGCCCGGCCCCCCAGGCGAGACGCGGGGGGGCGCGCGGGCTCTCGCCCTCGACGGCCTCCTTCTCCTCCTCCTCCTCGTCCTCCTCCTGCTCCTCCTCGTCCCCCTCCTCCCTCCTCCTCCTCTCCTCCTCCTCCCTCCTCCTCCTCCTCCTCCTCCTCCTCCCTCCTCCTCCTCCCTCCTCCTACTCTTCCTCCTCCTCCTCCTCCTCCTCCTCCTCTTGCTCCTCCGCCTCCCCTTCTCCTCCTCCTCCTCCTCCTCCTCCTCCTCCTCCTCCTCCTCCTCCTCCTCCTCCTCCTCCTCCTCCCCCTCCTCCTGCTCCTCCTCGACCAACTGGGTGACTGCACCTACCGACCGACCGATCGACTGACCGACCGACCAGCCGACCGACCGACGGGCCACGCAGGACGACCCATGGCGGCGATGGCCGACGACGGCGATGACGTAGTCGTCGTGGTCGTGGTCGTGGTCGTGGTCGGGGTCGTGGTCGTGGTCGTAGACGTGGTTGTTGTCGTTGTCGTCGTCGTCGTCGTCGTCGTCGTCGTCGTCGTCGTCGTCGTCGTCGCTGTCGTCCTACTCCCCGCGGGAATCGGCTTCCCAGCGTGGCACAGACAACTTCCCGAACATCACCCCATCCAAATACCGAGCGTTGGCTCCCCTGAGCGTCAAGTCGGGCATGCCCCTTTTCCAGGAGGAGTGTTCAAAAATGGTCCAGAGGTAGCCAGGGGAGGATTTGTCGACTTTGTATGCCGATGTTTTGAACTATGGTTTGGCTATGTGTTGCTCTTCCTCCAAAAACCGCCTGCGGGAGGCCGTCGGGGTCCCTCCTCCCTCCCTCCATCACCTTCTTCCTCCTCCTCCTCCTCCTCCTCCTCCTCCTCCTCCTCCTCCTCCTCCTCCTCCTTCCTCCTCCTCCTCCTCTTGTGCTCC